TAGAGAGTTCTGTGTGTAGCTCTCTCGTTAACGAAACTTTTGTTGCCCACTCCGTCGATACGCGCCCGTGAGCTGTGCGTCCAATCGGTTCGGGTCAAGAAACGGTCCTCTTCTGCGCCCGGTGGTATTTTTCCGCTGGTTCGAGGATCTTCGCTGAAACGAATCGGTCTGTACGATCGAATTTTACATTTTACTCGAAACTTACCTACTAATCTGTTGCCCCGTCATCGGTTGAGATCGAAAAACCGGGTTCCCTTAGCCAAGCAAAACATTTCCCTGCCCGCTGAGAGTCACTGAATGCTCCGGGAGCGTGCAGGAACCGCTCGTCGATTCCCTGCGTATCGCGCGGAGGTGGAGAGGCGATCCCCGAGTCCCGACTCGAGTAGGTCAGAATACGTCTGGCTCTGTGCGCACATTGCACGCCTCGCGCAAGTCGCGACTCAATTCTCGCTGGCTTCTCGCGACGCGATCTGCACTCGCTACAACCACTCCTGGCCAGTGTGTACGCATACGCAATATAAAAAAAAAATATATATAATATATAGTATTTTTTCTTTTTCTCCCCTAGACAAGTATAAAACATTCGTATTTGTCGTATTGAAGAAACTGTATGATAAAAATAATATCTTTAAAATATATATATATCATATATTTCGTTACTTTATTGTGTTGTTTACCATATTTCAATTACAGTGATTACACTAATCGTATTATCGTTGAAAAAAAATCGACGTGAAAGTGTTATTAACACTAGGTTTACGGGCACTTATCGTGTAGGTATCTCCACGGCACGCATCAACGAACCCGCAGATTTTCTTTAAAAAACAACTTATTTTATATAATACACAATTTATGATCTCTGAAATGAATGCATAGCTATAGAGATAGGTATACCACATAGAGAATTTCGAGGTTAGAAAGCATTCGAAATGCGTCAAAATGACGCGTCCCGTAAACCTAGTGTTAATTATGCCCACAAAAAGTCGCTTTCCAGACTACTGTGCGCACCGTGAGGAACGCTCTCGCTGCTCCCGCCGCGGGAGACCCCGACAGGTCGCACAGTCGAGGAATCGTGGTTTCCTCGTACGTCTGCGGCCCACGCGCGAACTCGTTCGTTGGCCAATCGTACACACAGAGTGGAGAAGAAGTAAACTCCGCGCGACGGCTGGACCTCGGTACGATCGTTTGTTTTCCCTCTTTCTTGCGTGCTTTCATCCAAACCCCGTCGTCTAATCGATTCCAATTGGATCGTTCCGTGACAACGAGAAGTATGTATGTGGATCGTCTTTAGGGAATCGCAATCGGACGGTTTCCTGTTCGATCGTGTCGCGTTCGCGGTCAACCTTTCTCTTTTCCTCGTGTTTATCGCGGACGTGACCCGGCTGGACGATCGAGAACGTTGACCCGACGCGTGGACCTCTAGCAACCTCGCTCACGCCGCGAGTGCTTCGTCCGTGCTTCTCCGTTCGGTCACCGAGAAAGCGAAAAACAGAGGCGAAAACGCAATAGGAGGCGAGATGTTGTTCATACCTTCAAACTGTTCCAATCAGATTCGTCGTACATCAGTGATGGGCAACCGAGTCCGTTCGGGCATGTTACCCGCACAGACAAGTGGCGGGCAGCCGCGGGCTTCTGTGAAGGCGACGCGAGGCAGGAAACGTATTGGGATTCCTTGACCCTTCTCGCACATTTTAATCTAAACTAGCGTTATCACTCGTATAGATTAATAGTCATTTATATTTCTTTTTATTGAAAAGAAATAAAACCAACCTGATCTTGTGTCGGCCACGCGAGAATGGTGCCTTTATATTAAGTAGTATTATGTATAAGGATTGTTATAATAAATAATAACAAAATAATTAAGTCTAAAACTTTTAAGTTTTAGAAGAAGTTCTGGGATTAGTTCCAATTTTCGCCATCAAAGTGGTGGGGGCGCCATATATGTGCAGATTTTTTCCGCCATCTTGGATTTTACAAAAAGCGCGGGAAAAATTGGGATTTATGCGACATATAGTGGCGCCCTCCATCACTTGGTGGCGGAAATTGGAACTAATTCCAAAACGTCTCTTGATAGTTCGCAAAAACGCCACCAAAGTGGTGGGGGTGCCACTAAATGTCCCATAAATTCCAAAATTTTTCCAGGAATTTTTCTGAATCATTGTACGTTTGTGGCGCGACAATGTTTACCAATTACTAATTATTTATTTATGGAAAATATGGGATAGTCGTAGTGATAGGCTTAATAAACAACACATATGTACCACTTATTACACAATTTACAATAGTATTTGAACAAATTTCACAACAATTGCCTTAAATACTACTTATATATATACGAGTTTACAATATATTTTCAAGAATATGTGCATAAATTCAGTAAAACATGGCTTAAATATTATTCAGACTTATAACAATAAAAATAATTCCCTCTTCTGTAACTTGTAAATCTTCCGTACGATGTTCAAAGCTTCATATGGAATAGTGCCATACACTTGTCATCGAAATTATCATTCTTGGGGACATAGGATAGATGTCGAACTCCTGTAGAGGGGTAGCGAAGCAGGACACATCACGAGTCACGAGTCGTGATTCCACGACATATTTGTGTGTGAAGAGAATGATAGATACGTGCTCTCATTCAGACATTTCACCCACCACTGCCATATGCCCGCATGCTGCACATTGTTGCCCGCTAGTGAGTGTGGCGGGCGCTGAGTTGCCCATTACTGTCGTACACTAACGTGCTAGGGGAAAAAGTCACGTAGAAGGGCCCCCTACCAGTTGGTCTCGGGAGTTACTGAAATTTATTCCAAAGTAATATTCGACTTAACATTTATTTCAATACCTGGGAAAGA